GCGAATAAATCTGTTCGTACTATCGAGATAAATCCATCAATATCGTGATTCAAATTGTGAAATTGAAGTGATTCTATTTTAAAATTAAATCTTTAGTTGGCTCTAATAAATAAAAGAGATAAATATTGTATAAAAAGAATGTTATCTATATACTCACTGGCGCGTAAATCGTGTATAGTATCGACAATCGAGTCGATTTCTAAAGACTCCCAATCATTCTTGCCAGCAAGACCACATTGCTTCGCCAAATAACGGCAGATAGCTACGGACTGATCGATTTTCTTTCCATCTACTATCATTACAGGTACTTTGCCGAATGGCATAGCTGAAAGATGATATTAAGAGTACTCATGCTGTTAAAATAGAATCAAGTTTCAAGGTAAAGAAGCCATTTGATTGATTTATTTTATTATTGTAACACATTTGTATTCACAGAAATTTTCTAAATACATCAAGAGTTTTGGTAGTTAATAAAATTGTAAACAATTAAAATTTATATTTGCCGTGGATCGAAATCGGATATCAGAAAGGATCGAGGCGGATCCGCGACAGGTGGACGCTAGCAGGGGCATGTATTAATATTAATCAAGTATACATACTGTCTTTAAGTTTTGGCCAGTCTTTTCTATCGAAACGTTCATCCTCAAATTCGATGTCAGCATAGCTGAACAGAAAGCGAATTGGTTCGGCCAATGCCGTGATGGGATAGTAAATCAGCTTGTAGGAAGGCATGTTACTAAAAAGAAAGCTTGTTATTCTTCTCTTTATTATCATGCTAATTTTAAAAAGATATCTCAACGGCGGATGACTTCAATATTTTCCCTGATTAATCTGTTTGTGTCTGATTAATCTGTTCAAGTGCAGTTGCATTATATAATTGTTCTCAAATTCTATATGTTCTTATATCTTTCTTATCAAACTAAATACATGACTGATTATTGCACAAAAATTTTTAAGTGTAACGTACGATATTCTTTGCTATCTTTACACTTAAAATATATTGTGCATATAGCTATATAGAAATGTGAAGCTTGTATTTAAAATATTTTAGAGAAAGAAATATATATGTTCATTTGACGTGACATTATAATAGTTTTTAATTACGTAATTCTTATTAATCACGATTTATTCTTTAGAATATATGGTCCTAATATTTATGAAAGACGCCATTAATGGGCGTTTCTCTCTTCCATGTCATTCTCTGTATTTATATATTTTTGTAATGCAATCATACTCTCCGAATACCACTATTATTTTGAATTATTAGCCAAATCAATCTTGACATTATTATTCCGTTCATCATGGTGAACGATTAATTAATCCGCTATTATAAACGCCACTAAAGTTGCCGGCCGTTAATTAGCCGAGCGGTAACCATAAAATGCTTTTGTGCGAAGTATTCGTCGCAATATCATAATATTCATAGTTTTGAGTTATCTAGTTTAGTTATCTATAATGAATAAATGAATAAATAATAATAGGCAAGTTCTACTTACAATTTAGCGAATTCTACACAGGGGAAAAGTTAATTGCGTTGTTACAGCAGTTACCAACGGTGACGTCCGACCACGTCCGACGGTAGAACTGGATAGAATCAACTGCTAGCCAACTCTGCTACTTATTTCCCTACCAGCTTGACATCCTCCCCCCTCCACTTTGCTGTTTTGATCGCGATCTACTTTCAAGCTCCAGAAGAAACTTATTGCACGCTGCGTTCCGATATTCAATGCTGAAAATCTATAGTGCACGTAACGTATATTATAGATTTTCAATACTTGCAGTGAATTTCGGAACGCAGAGATATGAGCGAGTAGCTATTACCTAGGAAATACAATCATCACAAAAAGTATTAAAATTGCAAACGCGAAAAGTAATAAATTGAGAAGTACCGAAAAGTTTTTAATTGCAACATTTTTTAAATATGTCTTTAAACATCTGTTATGTAATATCTAATGGTTTTGTATTTTATTTGAAGTTAGGATTGTAAAAGGATTGTAAAAGGATTATTACAACCTAAGCGATTCAAAAGTTTTGTCAAAAAAATGAAAGAAATCAACCAGAAAATAAGAATAGTAATTTATTGAATACAAAATCAATACAAAGAAAAAAATAGTTTATTTTTCAAGGTTTCGATAGAAATCATTTTATGATATTTTCATTATTATATAATAACAATCAGCCTTCAATATGTGCTAAAATATACATTTGTATCTCCGTTTATAATTAATGAATCTATAATGTCTGCCTTTTTTTACATAGATATAGACACGTTTGAAAAAAAAAAGAGAAATCGATATTTTAATCAAATTAAATATCAATGAACAGTAAATTCTGGCGGGAAATTATTTTGTGAAATTATTCAAATTATTTCTAAAAGCTGTAAAATTGCAAAAGTATCGGAAAACAAAAAATTGTGAAAGTACGAAAAGACGTTTTTAGTTGAAACATTTATAAAATGTGTTTTTTAATCACTCTTTAAATATCTATCATATAACATTTAATGGTTTTGGATGTTACATGTTAGTCGATGGGCGCTTCTGGATCCACTTCTTGATAGCCGGTACTTCCTCGACTTTCTTTTGAAGTTGTTTTAGGTTTGGATACTTTTCGACAATATCTTCTTTCATCATCATGTTTAAGTAATCCAAAAGAGCGACGAAAACGAGATCGGCCCACGTCAGACTACCGCCGATGAAGTAACCACCGTTCTTCTTCACCTGAGCGTCCAAACGTTCCAAACAATACGGCACCGTCACTTTGGCACCTTTAGTTTTCTCTTGTTTAGCTTGTTCGTTGCTCTCGTAGTGAAAGGCAGCAATGTCTAATACAAGCGAGAAGAAAAAGATAAGACAAATAAGATAGTGACAAACAATTTGAATCAAATATTTCAGTGAATCGAATTTAACGCAAAAATGTAGAAAAATGTATTTTCTTTTTATATTACCATCCTTTGCGAATAAATTTGTTCGTATTCTCAAATCTCCAGATATGATTCCTATCAATATCGCGATTTAAATCTATTTTAGAATTAAACCTCCGCCTCTGGTAAATAAAAGAGTCGGATAAATATTGTGTAAAGAGAATATTATCTACTTACTGTTACGTAAATCGTGTATGGTGTCGACGGTCGAATCGATTTCCAGAGCCTCCCAATCGTTCTTGCCAGCGAGACCACATTGCTTTGCCAAATAACGGCAGATAGCTGCAGATTGACCGATTCTCTTTCCATCTACTTCGAGTACGGGAACTTTGCCGAATGGCATAGCTGAAAGACGATATTAAGATACGTGAATGTATCATGCTGTTAAAATCGATTAAAATTTATAACAGAGAAATCATTTGGATTATTGTTGTGACAAATTTATATCTATATTTTATATATATATATATATATATATATATATATATATATATATATATATATATATAGAGCTTCGATAGTTAATATTTGCACACAATCAAAGTTAAATACAATGACATAATTGTCAAACCTGACTTTCTAAATCCTAATTTTTGTTCTCATGATCATTTTCTTTTGTTGTAAAATTTATTAAAACGATCTGCTGCCTTTCATACGGCTTTTGGATGTTGATAAGTCTCTCAATCGGCATATCGATTGGCTAACTTGAACGACGCAGAGATGATTTCTACATCAATATACTATTTACGTTGAAACTGTGCAATAAAAGCGTGAATATATTTTTCATTAAAAATACAAAACATTGTATTTACATATCAATATCGATTATATTTACATAACAATATCGATTGTCCTGTGCAACACATTGTAATACATAATAAGAAATAGAAGATTCTATTGTCGAAAAAATAACATTAATTTCCGGTTCTGTCATGCAGGAGAGTTAAATGGAAATGGTACCTAAATGTTTCGTTAAATTATCAGACTGTGTGGCGTAATTCTTACATTAAAATATTTTATGTTTAAGGATGAAGAAGTACGTTACAACGGAAGATCAATCGGCGCTTCAAAAGAAGATAATGCGAACATTTTTTAAATACATAATGTAAAATATTTTTGCCACGAATCTCTTCCTAAATTGGTTTTCACGAAGGATCGTACCAGATTAAATTCGCGAACACTAGCAGAGGTATGTAGTATTAATATTAATCAGGTATACATACTGTCTTTAAGTTTTGGCCAATCTTTTCTATCGAAACGTTCATCCACAAATTCGATGCCAGCATAGCTGAACAGGAAGCGAATTGGCTCACCCAATGCCGCGACGGGGAAGTAAATCAGCTTGTAGGAAGGCATATTGCTGAAAAAAAAGCCTCATATTTTTCTACTCATTGTCATCATAATTCTAAGATGATATTTCACTAATAATACGATTTAAGTTTTGTTTGTTGAAACGAGTCCCAGTTTTAAATTTAATTTTCATTGAAAAATTTTGGGTTTAATTAAATTTGTATATAAATTGGATTTAATCTTTAATTAATATTATCTTCAATCAAATTAAGTTAAAGTTTCAAATAGTTAAAAGTTATTATAAAATTAAAAACAAGTCTGGTTTGAAATTGTTATCAAAAGACAGAAGACTTTTTGATAAAAGTTGAATAGTTGCAAAATCATTGATTATATATTATTATTTATTAAAAATAAAATCATATCGCGCACAGCAATCTCTTCTATAGAGATATAAATGTACGTTACGTAATCATTAAAAAGCATATTTTCTTATCTTTCTTATCATAAACACCTTATCATGACCCCCCTTAGTGATATTGCACATACATTTTTAGATATCTTTACACTTATATATTTTTTGCTGTAATACAACGCTCTCCGAATGCCGCGACTATTCAGAATTATTATCCGCATCATTCTTGACATTATTATTGCTTCATCATGGTGCTAGAAGGACTATACTTTATCCGTTACCACCGGTGAACGCCGACCGGTGACATTGAAATTCTTTTGCGCGAGATATGCGACGTAATATCGCAATATCCAGTCTTGGATTAGTTTTCCAGTTCAGTTATCTGAATAAATGAGAATGTAGGTAAATTCTACTTACAATTTAGCGAAGAATTTTTACGCAAAAGATGTAAAGGTATTTATTGCGATTACAGCAGTCACCAAACCGGTGATGTCCGACGATGAAACTGGATAGAATCTGTTGCTAGCTGCTAGCTAACTGGACTATTTATCTCTATCCCTACCAGTTCGATATCCCCACTTTGTCGTTTCGATTGTGACGACTCACTTCCGAGCTCCAAAGGAATGTAAAGATATGAGCAAATAGTTATTGCTCGGAAAATACAACAATCCCCAAAAATATTGTAAAAATAACGAAAAGATGTTCCAATTTTTGAAATATGATTTAGGCAATCACTCTTTTATATACATTTATTATATATATATATTGTATATTATCTTCCAAAGATTTTTAAGTTATTTGAAATTAAGAATGTAAACGGATATTACAAATTAAGGACTTAGACAGCAATTTGACATTATTCACCGTTATTTTGACAAAATGACATTTTTGGCGATATTTTATCGTCAAAATAACGACAAATAATATCAGCTTGATACCTGGGATCCTTGGAGATTGGAAGGTTTCTGGTGAATACGGAAGAAATCAACAAGAAGATATAGTAAAAATAGTGATTTATTGAAATATAAAATTACGTAATGAAAAATAATTCATTTTCTAAAATTTAATTAGAAATTATGATATTTTCATTATTGTCATACGATGATAATCAGCCTTCAACAAGTGTTAAAATATATATCTGTATTTCCAGTGCATAGTTTGCAAATTTACACACATATTTTTTATTGCATAGATGTAGATATATTTAGAAAAAAAAGGAAATCTCGATATTTTATTTAACTCAAACGTCAATGAACAATAATCTTTTTCGGAAAATTATTTTATGAAATTATCCGAATTAATTAACGTAAGACAGACGCCGGACGTTTTTGGATCCAGTTTTTGATAGCCGGTACTTCCTCGACCTTCTTTTGAAGTTGCTTCAGATTCTCATATTTCTCAATAATGTCCTCTTTCATCATCAAGTTCAAGTATTCCAAAAGACCAACAAAAGTGAGATCGGCCCACGTCAGAGCACCGCCGATGAAATAACCGCCGTTCTTCTTCACCTGAGCGTCCAAACGCTCCAAATAATATGGCACCGTCACTTTGGCAGCTTTAATCTTCTCTTGTTTAGCTTGTTCATTGCTCTCATAGTGGAAAGCAGCAATGCCTAATACAAGCAAAAGAAGATAAGACATATAAGATGTTGTTACGAAATAGATGTTGTGACAAACAGTTCGGATCAAATATTTTAGTAGAGAGAAATTAACATTAGTGAAAAATATATTTCTTTTTTATATTACCATTATTTGCGAATAAATCTGTTCGTACTATCGAGATATAAATCCATCAATATAATCATTCAAATTTATTTTAAAATCAAATTTCCGTTTCTGATAAATAAAAAAAGTCGGATAAATATTGTAACGAGAATATTACTCACTGGCGCGTAAATCGTGTATGGTATCAACGGTCGAGTCGATTTCCAAAGACTCCCAATCATTCTTGCCGGCAAGATCACATTGTTTCGCCAAATAACGGGAGATAGCTGCGGACTGATCAATTTTCTTTCCGTCTACTTCGAGTACGGGTACCTTACCGAATGGTGTAGCTGAAAGATGACATCATTGACAACATAAAGGCAGGGGATATTTGGCATGAATCGAATAAGATTTGTAGTAAAAAAGCCATTTGGATTATTATTGTGACAAATTTATGTCTACAGTAATCTTACAGTAATTTTGTATACATATTAAGAGCTATGATAATTATAATAATTGCACATAATTAAAGTTGACGAGTACAATTACATGTTCAAATCTGAATTTGAAAAAAATTCTAATTCTTATGGCAATTTTCTTTTTGTGCTGTAAAATTTATTCAAACGGTCTGCTTTTTGATCTTTTTTGACTTGTCAACTGTTCATGAATCGTACTTCCGGAAAGGTTGAGCAAGATTAAATTCGTAACAACGCTAGGACACATTATTAATATTAATCAGGTATACGTACTTGGCTTAATTTTTTTCCAATCTTTTCTATCGAAACGTTCATCCACAAATTCGATGCCAGCATAGCTGAACAGGAAGCGAATTGGTTCGGCCAATGCCGTGATGGGAAAGTAAATCAGCTTATAGGAAGGCATGTTGCTAAAAAAAAATTTCTTATTTTTCCCTTTATTCATCATACTTCTAAGAAAATATCTTACTAACAGATAATATACAATGGCGGACAAAAGTCAATTAATCGTTCTCTAATATATCAACTTGAAAAGTGGAGGTTTTACGCTGTAAAATGCTTTTTTAAAAATCTCGTTAGGATAACTTTTGACAAAGTTGCTCTATCTTGAAGTTTGCCTATTTTTAGAGGACGACTTTAAACTTACTTTTGTCCGCCTGTATATATACAGCTTTAAGTTATAATTGCGTTTTTAAAAACCGACATTAATCAGCGCGGAGTTTACAACAGCTGAAATAATTAAGAATATTATTGGGCAACCAATATCTAGTCTCGCTCATAGCTCTTTTCCATTCATTATTTGTTGTAATATACGATTTAATTTTCAAGTTTCATTATATAAGTTTATTTACTGTACGAGTTTCATTTTCTATTAATATTTAATTTTGAGTTTAATCAAATTTATGTAAATCGAAACTTGTGAATTAAATTGTATATAAAATCAATCTTTAATCAATATCATCGCCAATCAAATTATGTTAAAATTTACAAATTATGTTAAAATTTAAAAATAAGTTTAAAATTGTAATTTAAACACAAAACTTTTAGAGAAAAATTTAAGTAGTTATAAAATCATTGATAATTTAAAAATACATCGTTTATTAAAAACAAAGTCATTATATGCTGTATGTACACAGCAATCTCTTAATCTAAGAGTATATCTAAGTGCAATTACGTTATGTCATCATTAAAAGGCACATTTTCTTATCTCTCTTATCAAACTAAATACGTGACTGATAATGCTACACAAGAATCTTTAAATACAACATATAATATTCATTCTTTTGCAATCTTTACGATTAAAATATATTATATAATATGAAATCTTTGTAGAAATGTGAACTTTTATTTTAAAAATTCCGCGTGAGCAAACGAATTAATATTTAATTGACATGACAATTTTCAAACTTTGTAATCGATGATTCTTATTAATTATAATTTATGCTTTATAAAATATACGATTCTAATATTGATGAAAAATGCCGTTATTGAGGCATTTCTCTCTTCCATATATACATATATATATTTGATATTTAGAAGTAATATATATATATATATATATATATATATTTGCTGTAATAAGATACTCTCTAAATATCACAATTATTACCCTAATCATTACCCGAATTGATGTTATTATTCCTTCATTATAGTGATAGAATTAATCCATTGTGCCATTATGTTACCGGTCGCTAATTAGATAACGATAAAACGTTTTTGCGCGAGATATTTGAAGTAATATCACAGTCTTGAGTTCACTTATCTGAATAAATGAGAATCGGGAAGTTGTACTTACAATCTAACAAATTCTATGCAGAAAATGGAAAAGGTATTTATTACGATGTTATTGCAACAATCACCACCGGTGATGTTCAACGCTGCACTCTCTGTGGAATCTATATACTCTCTGCTAGTTAACTCCATTTATTATCTCCCTACCTATTTAGAATCCCCACTTTCGAGCGTGGCTCACTTTCGAGCTCCAGAGAAAACTTACTACAAAGTTATAAGTGAATAGATATATATTATCCAAAAGATACAACCTCAAAAATTATTGTAAAATTAACGTCGAAAAAATATTTTAGTTTTTCAAATATGTCTCAATCATTCTTTAAACATTTATTATAACATCTTTCAATCGTTTTTAAGCGGATTATTACAAATTAAAGATTAGAATAGTTTCTTGTTAATACAAAAAAATCATCAAGAAACTAGTAAAAATAGTGATCTATTGAGATACAAAATTACAAATGAAAAAAAAATTATTTTTCAAGGTTTAATTAAAAATCATCTTCTATTTTTAATATTGTCATACAACAATAATTAGTCTTCAAGTGCTAAAAATATAAATATTTGTATTGCCAGTGCATAGTTTACGAATTTATTTATATATAAGTAAAAGCATTGTAAAGCATCGAAAAAGCATTTCAGTTTTTCAGACATATTATTGTTAGCCGCTCTTTAAAGATCTTTCTAAGTATCTGATAATTCCTTGCGTTATTTGAAATATTATCAAACAACTCATACTGTAACATATGACAAAGTTAGACTATACGTGATGTACTGTTGAAGAAGAGATATTTGGATAAGAGATATATGTCCGCGATTTTATGTGCAAACACAGATATCACTGTGAAACTACTTTCACTCGTATTTATGAGAATTATCACATGCTCGATATTTTAGATCAAATATATAACTTGTTTGGGCAAATGCTTGCTTGCAATGGTTTTTTAAGTTATTTGAGATCAAGAATATAGACGGATTATTACAAATTAAGGATTGGAAAGATTTCTCGTCAATACTAAAGAAATCGACAAGAAATTAGTAAAAGTACATTTATTGAAATACAAAATTACGTATTGAAAAAAATAATTATTTTCTATCATTTTACATAACTAAATATCATCTTAGATTGTTTTCATTATTGTAATACAATAATCACCTTCAATAAGTGTTTAAAAAAAATATATATATATATATTTTTTTTTTTTTTTTTCAATGCGTATAGTTCACGAATTTATCATATGTATTTTGTAGACATGTTTGAAAAAAAAAATCAATATTTTATTCAAATCAAACATCAATGGATAATAAATTCTGTCGAAAAATCTTTTATGAAGTTAACCAAATTAATTCGGGTAATTAGATGCCGGACGCTTCTGGATCCACTTCTTGATAGCCGGTACTTCCTCGACCTTCTTTTGGAGTTGTTTCAAGTTCTCATACTTCTCGACGATGTCCTCTTTCATCATCAAGTTCAAGTAATCCAAAAGACCGACGAAAGTGAGATCGGCCCAAGTCAAAGCACCGCCGACAAAGTAACCGCCGTTCTTCTTCACTTGAGCGTCCAGACGTTCCAAATAATACGGCACTATTTCTTTAGCTTTAAGTTGTTTCTCTTGTTTAGCCTGTTCATTACTTTCGTAGAAGTAAGAAGCCATACCTAGAACAGAAGCAAAAAAAAATAAGATAAGAGAAATAAGATGTGACGAACAGCTCGAATCAGTCAGTGGATTGAATTTACAATACAAATGTAGAAAAAAATTTTTTTCACGTTATCGTCGTTTGCAAATAAATCTATTTGCAAGATATAGACAATTAATGTAATATAAATAATAATGTTATATCAAGATATAAACAACAATATAGTGTATAAATTCAAATCCATTTGAAAATTTAAGCTCTGTAATAGATAAAAAAGAATCGAGTAAGTAATAATCAGAATATTGTCTACTCACTGGCGCGTAAGTCGTGTATGGTATCAACGGTCGAGTCGATTTCCAGAGCCTCCCAATCGTTCTTGCCAGCGAGATCACATTGCTTTGCCAAATAACGGCAGATAGCTACAGACTGACCGATTTTCTTTCCATCTACCTCGAGTACGGGCACTTTACCGAATGGCATAGCTAAAAGATGATATTACGTGAATGCAACATATAATAGAAAAGCTTTCTGAATTATCATTACGACGAGTTTATTTACAGCAATTTTCTATACATGGTAAATTTTGATAGTTAATAATTGAAAACAATTAATTAAAGTTATTAATTATACTTGTCGCGATCTGTTATTCGTAAATCAGATTCCAGAAAGGATCGAACCGAATTAAATTCGCGAGCAGGGGGAAGTATTATTAATATAAATCAAGTGTACATACTCGGTTTAATGTTTGGCCAGTCGTTCCTATCGAAACGTTCATCCACAAATTCGATGCCAGCATAGCTGAAGAGAAAGCGAATTGGCTCGGCCAATGCCGTGACAGGGAAATAAATCAGCTTGTAAGACGGCATGTTGCTAAAAAAAAAGAAAAAATCTTATCATTTTTCCCTTCATTGTCATTATATAATTTTAGAAAGATACTCAACGGCAGATAACATGCTTCTATTTTTCGGTCTCATTAATCTATGAGTTAAATGTGCCGTTATGCAGTATCGTTACAAATTGTTTTTTCTTATCAGAGATTACACGATTGATAATATTGCACAATTATTTAGATATAGTACAGCATATGGTAAAAATGATTCATTCTTTTACAACTGCAGTGACGCTCAAAATATATTGTGCAATATACGAATCTATATGCGAAAGCTTATGTTTAAAGTATATTCCGCATGGAAAGGAACTGTACGATCCTGTGACGTTATACAATTCTCGGACCTTATAAACGATGATTTTTTATTAATCACGTTTTATGCTTTATGAAATATATAGTTCTGATATTGAGATGAATGACGCCGTTATTGAGACGTTTTTCTCTTCCACGAATTCTCTATTCGTACTTGCGTACGTTTTCATCGTGATGCAATTATCTCCGAATACCACGATTATTCTCAATCATTCCCCAAATCCTTGACCTTAGCGTTACCTCGGCACAATCTACATCACTATATTTAAGTATGCCGGCCGCTTATATTATTAGCCGGGCGGTGCCGGCGCGGCGGCGGTTCCGCCGGCCGGTGATCACGAAACGCTTTTATTCGAGAAATATTCGACGCAATATCAAAATATCGACAGTCCTGAGTTAGCCAGTTCAATGTAAAATTTGAATAAATGAAAATAAGCAGTTCTACTTACAATTTGAGGTGAATATTCTACGCAAAAGGCAGAAGAAGAAGCGTTGCTATTACAAGTCACGAACAGTGAACACAATGACGTTCGACAATGTCCGACGCCACTAGCTAAGCTGCTGTGCCTGGGTGCCGGGTGGGATGATGGCTGCTTGTGGCTGCTGTATTTAATATTTGTCTCCCTCGGTTCGACATCCCCACTTTACTTATCGTCTCGAACGTGGCTCACTCTCGAGCTTCAGAGGGAACTCACTGGATAGAGATATACGAAAAAAAATCGTGCAAAAATTTGAAAAAAGTATTATAAGAGCGACAAAAAGGCATTCCAAATTTTCCAGACATGTCTTATTGTTAGTCGTTCTTTAAAGATCTTTCATATCCCACTCTGATAGTCCCTTGCGTTATCTGAAATTATTATCAAACAGCTCGTATCGTGAGAAGTGATGCTGACAAAGATGGACTATATATAATGTATCGTTAAAGAAGGGACGGAGATCTGGAAATATATGTCGCGATTTTATATCATAGTTATCACTGAGAAACTACCTTCACTCGTATTTATGAGAATTATCACATGCTCGATATTTTAGATTAAATATGTTACTTATTGCATGGGCAAAGATATTCGTCAAGATATTATATTGAAGGCGAAGCAAAGATAAAAAGTACTTTCGTTATTTTTTTTTTTACAAATAAAACACATGCGATATTTTAAATCACTTTATCAAATTTTTTATCAAATGTCAAGCAAGAATATATAGTTAATAAAAGCCCAGTATGTATATCACATACAAACGTTCGAGCGCTTAATGAGGGAATTAAATTAGCAATACGAAGTTTTACTTTAACGTAATTCGGAAGACGAGTAAACCATATGGGTGCAAAATTTATTTATTTATGTAATCATATTGTATACACGAATTAGATCTTGAGATTTGCTCAATATGACTGTTCCGAAATGTTTATAAAAATTAATTTCGACGCAGAACAAAATCATAATAGAACGAATCACCTGCATAATCATTCATATATACAGAAATATAACAATTCGATAATTAGAATATAACATTACACACTATCAAATATTTTCGTATAACAGCTATACAGGATAATAAGAGTTCTGCCGTATAAAAATTCTGTATAATAAAAATTTCTAGTAATCGTATACGATATAAATATACATTCTATATTACCCATCTTCCCATATGTGACGTACAATACAAAACATATACTTATCTTAATGATTATTGAAAGAGAAAGCAGTATACGTTACTATACTCAAAATGTAAAATATTTCTTGACAAGTATTGTTAAAAAAAGGGGGGAGGGGAAGGGACATTTATCACAGTAATCTTGATTCGCATTTTCCGCCCGTATGCTTTCCTAAGTGTGAAACATCTGTCCGATGATAGAGAAGTTCCTGACGGCGGAGCTCATTTCGGAGATGTCGACATTCGGGTGCAGACCCGACGAGACGACCGTGGTCGCGTTGGTCGCTGCATGCGCGTTCATTCGCTGAACGTTATCCATGTAACCTTTGTTCGTCTGTACATTCAGAGTGCTGTTAATGACGTTCAAGTGAGCTGCCTGCGGCAGCGTGGTGATGATAGGAGCGACAATCGAAGAGGTGGACGCCACGGAAATGCCGCCGGTGGACTGAGGGGACTGACCGTAGGAAACCTGTTGTTGTTGTTGTTGTTGTTGTTGTTGTTGTTGTTGCTGTTGTTGATGTTGTTGCTGCTGCTGCTGCTGCTGCGCATTTTGCGCGATCCCCGGCTGATAATTACTGTACTGCGCCTTGCACTTCTTCTCGTGGACGAACAGACTGCCGGAATGGCTGTACGCGGTGCCGCAGATCTTGCACGCGTACGGCTTCTCGCCCGTGTGCGTGAATCTGTGCTCCTTCAAGTACTTGAGCCGGCGGAACGACTTGCCGCAGGTCTTGCAGTGGTAATTCGCCTCGCCGGTGTGCGTGGTGATGTGTGCCTTCAGGGTGCACGACTTGGCGAACGCGGCGCTGCAGTACTGGCAGACGAACGGCCGGTCGCCCGTGTGCGTCCGCTCGTGATTGATGCAGTTCGAGTTGGACGTGAAGCCGCGGCCGCAGTACTTGCACACGTGCGGCTTGTAGCCGGTGTGCGTCCGCATGTGGAACATGAGGCCGGTGTTCTGCCGGAACGTCTTGCTGCATATGTGACAGAGGAAGCGCTTGAAGTTCGCGTCCTGCTGCTCCTTGGCGCGCTCGTGAATCCGCAGGTGCTTGTGCAGCTTGATCTCCTTCTCGAACGACTTGTTGCACTCCTCGCAGGTGTACGGCTTCGACTTCTCGCCGCCGCTCTTCTCCGGATCCTTGTACGCGCAATTGCAGCGCACGCCGCCGCAGCTCGCGCAGCCCTCGTCCCGCCCGCCGTGCGCGTTCATCTGATGCTTCAGCAGGGACTTCTTCGTGTCGTACGACTTCCCGCAGATCCGACACGGGAAGCCCTTGCCCTCGTTGTCGGAATCCAGCTCCTCCCTTATCCAGGTGTTTATCAGCTTGATGGCCGACTTGTCGTCCGGCGGCTTCTGCGGCTCCGGGCACACCTTGCTCTCGTCGTGACCGTACCGATCCATATGGCTCTTCAGCCGGTCCTGCCGGAAGAACTTCATGTTGCACACGTTGCAGACGTACTTCTTCTCCTCGTGTACCAGCAGATGACGTTGCAGCGATCTCTCGGTGCGGTAACTCTTGCTGCAGTGCTTGCAGTTGAAGGTCGACGCGTCGTCGAACGACTCGGTTTTGTCGTCGCTGGAGTCACTATTCGCCAAATCCGAGTCCCTCTGCTCCACTCTCGTGTTGTTGCGTTTCCTCAGCTCCCTCGTCGTGCCGTCGTTCTCACCTCGCGACTGTCCGTCGTGCGCTCCCAACTCCTCGTCCTCGTCCATCGTGAGCGACGTGTCGAGGGACTCCGGATTATTCTCCAATCTCCTCTTGTCCCGTATCTCCTTCAGTATGGTGAAAACGTCCTTGGGGTACGCCTTCTTGTGAGTATTCAGATGCCTGACCATGGTGTCGATCTTCCTGAAACTCTTGTTGCAGATCTTGCACAGCACCGGCTTCGACTTCTCCTTCGCCCGGTGCAGATTAACGTGCTTGTGTAATTTGTCCAGACAGAAGAATTGCTTATCACAGCTGTCGCATTTGAACTCTTTGTCGTTGTGGGTCGAGGTGTGTCGATCCAAAGACTTTTTACTGGAATAAAATCTATCACACTTCGGACACTTGTATTGTAATTCGAGCTCGGACGCTCCTCGGTCCATCCTGCCGCGGACACCTCTCGCCTTCGTCTGATACTCGCCGTCGCTGCTCTCGCGTTTCACGCTCACGCTCTTCTTGATATACCGTCTCTGCCTCTCTTTGTAATTCCTCAAATTTTCTATAGACGTGACCCGTTTGAACATAGTCAATCTCCTCGTTCTATAAAGATCCTTCTTAGCTACCTTGTCAGGTTCCACTTGTTTGTATCTACTACCGCAGTCTAAATCTGTCTCATTGTCCATTAAAGTATCCTGCTTGGTTTGTTCGAAAGCATCTCGTATTTGTTCTCGTCTTATGACATTTGCCTGCATGGTATTCTTCTCTACGTTAACCTCATCGTCCGCATTTAACTCTGTATTGTCCGCTGAATTGATTGCATCCGAGATAAAAGATTGCTCAGTTTGACAACACTGGTCCTGCAAGAGAGACACAAATGTGACAGTATCTCAACGGTATTGAGATTGCTATTTTACAAGAAATAAAAGTACCTTTTTGAAAATGCAGTTGCTGGCGACGCTCGTCCCCGACGCTTTCCCGTACAGCTTCCTGAGTTCCACATCCGCTTTCTGACACTGTTTCCTCAATTCGTACGCGACGTTGACCTTCATCACGCACTCGAGGCAGATGTTAGCGGGCAGGCCGTCGTTCTCCAGGACCTGGACAACAAAAACATCATCGTCTCGTGGTCTACGGCGCGAGGTAAACAAGGGAACACAGGAGAGGCAAACCTCCACGCCGCAGCATAGCTGCAGCTTCTCGGACAGCTCGGAGGGGTCCCCCGGGTCGTCCCAGTTCCTGCGGAAGATGCACTGGTTGTTGTGGTCCACGGTCAGGCAGACGCGGCAGAGGCTGGTGTCCGGATTCGTCCGCGTCAACATCCCGCTGTCGATCTGCATGGGGACGATCGACGTGTGCGGGCGAGCTTCCTCTCTTCCCTCTTCCGTCGTCGTCGTCGTTTCCGGGGGAAACGTGAGGGCGCCGGACGTCCGTTTTCACGAGCTCGGCGATCCACGACGCGACGTCATCGTCGGGAATTCCGCAACGCTGGCCGTCACGATCGCACACACAAGCACACGCGTCCTCACCACCGCTTTTTCTCTCTCCTCTGATGACTGATGCGTCCCTGGACTGGACGCGGTAGCTTCTTCAGCGCGGCCTGCTGTCGCTCGTTCGAACTAGTGTGGTTTGCTCGGCTCCACGACAGTTTGACGTTTCGAGGCATGTTGTAGTCGACGTGCCTGTCCGTCCCGTTAGTTATCGTTAGGACGTTATTATTCTGCCATCGTTATGCCCGTAAGTCCTTGCACTTTACGCACGTATGGGCGTGTGACGTTTTCGTAGTAACCGCAGCAACGCGGGGCGTCACCCCGTTTGACATAACCAAAGTGTCATGACCATAGTGTCATGTTCCCTTCTTTTTCGAGCCTAGATTTTCGCTATTCTTGTTTTTATTAAGCACATTCATTAAATTAAAAATTCTCGCGCATAGATTATATCACTCGAATCAAACTTAAATGACGAGTGATCCTGGAATGCGAAGTAATACTAGAGTGAGCCCGTTGCGGAGGCTACGAACTGGATTAGTCATCTCATTTGTAATATCTTGAGTACTTCTTGCTAACATACATTCTTATCATTTTTTTAGGCGTATCACTCGAGCTTCACCAAGAGCCATGGCACCATTGGAAACATGGCGTTGCTGCCGATCAAAACCACATTCAGGGGTCCAGCGCCTCCTTTCAACAATAAGGAACAGGACATCATCGACGAGGCGTTATATTTCTTCAAAGCAAACGTGTTCTTCAGAACGTACGAGATTAAGGTAACATTTGAAGGCTCGATTCTACCGTGAGACAACATAATTTCATGTGTACGTCATGTTTGTGCTTTCGTTACAGAGCGAGGCCGACCGAGTTTTAATCTACATCACTCTATTTATAACCGAATGTCTGAAGAAGCTACAAAAGTGCGCGACCCAACCACAAGCCATGAACGAGATGTTTTCCCTTGCTATCTCCAAATTTGATATACCCGGCGATCATGGCTTTCCCTTGAATTCTGTATACGCCAAGCCAAGCAGCCCCGCTGAAGCCGGTAAGTATCGAACGCGCGACACACGGTTTGGAAATCAATGACCAGTCAGTAATCGATGAAGATCGCACGTGGTTCCAGATAATATTGGCATTACTTTGAATTTTAGATCTTATGAGGCAGTACCTTCATCAAATCAGGCAGGAGACGGCTGTTAGGATCGTTGAAAAAGTATACGGCGAGGATGGGAAGCCGAGCAAATGGTGGCTCTGTTTTGCGAAAAAGAAATTCATGGACAAGTCGCTATCTGGACCCGGCCAATGAGTTTTACTTCCCTTTATATTGTTTTGAAAATGTGCATGATTGAAGAAATAAATCGGTTAAAAAAAAAATCCATTTCATCCGCGTTTTCGACGACGAAGAGATTCACGGTGCAGAAAAGGAAATCGTAGAGTACCGAAAGTTTTGCAAGTTTTAGGAAAGAGGTATTTATTTTTTTTACAGGATACGCCACAATATTGATACGACGTAAGCAATAAAATGATGTATCTTGCATCGCGAAGATTACAAACAAAATAATTATCGTTTTCTGCGGAGAGACAGTGTGTTTCGCCTCTTCCAGGCCGCACGGCGCGAACCACCGATCGTTTGTGAATAGCGATGTCCTTTACCTAATCCGCGTGAGCTCCTGCCGGCGGAGGTCTTGCCACGGAGCTCACGGTGCTTTTGCACCGCGTTGCATATCCAATTTACCTTAGGATCGTTACGAATTGCCTGGAACAAAAGCACGGAAGTGTGTGTTAGAAGTGCGCGATGGATTTTTCTCTAAAAAATAATTCTCAAAATTTATGTTGCGTTCAGACATCCAAGGAAGAATAATTAATCATGTGATATCATTGGTGATAAAAAAATGTCATCATATTAGTAGTTTTGCTTTTTAACCAGAGTTATAAATGAGTTTTAGATTATTACCTTGTGAGCAGGATCGATCAGAATAACTTCATAGTATTTATATGAAGAATCTTGGGCCACCCAGTAGCTGTTGAGCACTCGCAACCCGCCGCAACGGCGACCGACGCGTTCCTGTAACATCGTTAGTGAAAAATGTGTTAGCAAAAAGGAAAGATAATCTTCAAACTAACGGCAATTTCAGACATCCAAGGAAGAAAAAGAATCAATAATATTCATTAAAATTAAACTTTTATCATTTTCAAAAATACAAAAATACAATTTTGTTCATTTGATATTATATTAATATCAATGTTTGATGTTAATATTAATAGTTTTAAATTCTGTGATTAAAATGTCTGTAATCAGAAGGTACAGCTACTTCCCCATTTCAAGGTAAGAGTGGTGCATGGTACAGTTCATCATATCAGACTCCCAAAGTTCTTTTTATACAACTTAGCTACGCGTACTCAAATAACTTACCTCAGCAACTGATTGCAGTTTCCTGGTTGGCTTCAACTGGTTAACACCATGGCTCTTGGGCTTGCCATAGGTCGCACCCTTAGGAACTGGGCGCTTGCGTCCACCGCGGCGTACACGGATTCTAAAGATGACGAAACCTGTGAAAAAAAATAAGATATTGCATTTATTCTCCATTTATGCATAAAATTAATTTATCAAATATATCAGTTGACGTAGTAGGTTATAATTCTCTTCACAGAACTGTCAGAGTGTGGCAGTCCAAAGTCATCATTTAATTTTTCCATGTAGAATTCCATGCAAAATTGTAAATGTTCCAACGTCAGGCACAATAAGATAGTTGAGACAATATAATTATATATTTATGGTTAGAGAATTGCTCGTCGATTTAAATGTAAAGTAAAATTTTTATTTCTCAGTAGTTATAAAGTCAAACTCATTCCTCATAAAATAAAGTATACAAAAGACATTCAAGTCTTAAAAAAAAAAAAACTACAATTTGGCAAACTTAGATCTCCATGATTACCATAAATTATAAGAATAAATAGACACATTCTGTTTCATGTATAATGCACATTTCATTTTATTCTTGTTGAACATTCGGTGAACAAGGACAAACTGATACATCATCGTACACGAAACAGAACGCATCCAATGGTATTAAACATTTCGTACTGTATGTGCCTGAGATGCAAATGTTCTATCGTACAAGTGTTATTCCAAACTTTGCCTCTGTGTATCTTTGAATTTCAGATTTTCGCACAACCATGCTTTCTATCTGGCGGAGAAGCGGCGACGATTACCTTGTTTGGCTTTGTAGCCCAGACGACGGGCCTTGTCCGGTCTAGACGGTCTAGGAGCACGGTGCATCTTGGTCAACTGGCGGTACTGCCAGCATCTGACGCGCAGCAAGAAGCGGAGCACATCGCTCTGCTTCTTGCGATAGAGCTCCTGCATATACTTGTATGCACCCATCGCGAATCCCTAGACACAGGCGACAGATAAAGACGATTAAACAGTGCCATTATTCGTGACTCCTACAATACGGGAAAATTTCGTATAAATAATTCTATCGAAAAGCGTTATGCGTTCGTTATTTCTGAAGGGGATTTGCGTCGCGTGGCGGATTCGAGGGAGAGAAACAACGTGCACGAGCGCGGAACAGGCATCCTCGAGGTTAGCATTTCCGTCGCGACGAATATGACGGATCGACGGGAAGATGTGCGAAAAATATGAGGGGATCTCGAATTGGGAAGCCCGGCGAACGATCTGCCCGCGCCTCGACGTCCGTAAAATCTAGGATGCCCGTAATAAAACGCGATTTCCAGCACACATCACTCACCCCACGCGAGTTAAAACAGAAGGAAGGAGTCCGGCTTTCGCCGGAGCGGCGCGCTGTTAAGATGGCGCGTCCTCCACGTCACGTTCCCAGAGACCTCTGAATTTCAGAGTCTGAAACGCGAGGCAAGAATCGCGTGCGCGAACATCCGTCGATATCCGGGTCAGAATAGCGGGAAACATGAAACACGTATGTATACATATAACACGTGTATACACATGTATATATTTACATGAATGAATATATATATATACGATTTACGATTTCTGCAGAAGAATTGCCCGGGACTGTGTCGATGTGCAGAATTTGGGTCAAGCTCGAAATTATAAGTGAACGTCGGAATGCAAAAGCAATTTTGTTCCAATATGATTCCGGCTTCAATTAATGTTTGACGTATATCGCGAAAACAAGATGTCTTTTGCAAATAATACAAAAGAACTTATTCCCATTAAAAAGTCTAAATTTTTTTCTTTCTTGTAATTTCTCCTTTATATTTTAATCTGAATTTATTTTTAATCCCGCTTTCTTTATCAATATTTTTTTATTTTGTATTATTTTTTTTATATATTTATATTTGGGATAACGAAAGGAATATTAACATTTTGTACGTCATATATCCCACTTACACTGCGTGTAATAAATCGTTATTGTAGTATTAAAAGACAAGCCTATAAATTATTTTTATTTATTAAGAAGGTATCTATAGAAGACTGTAAAGTAATATATTATAATTTGCATTTCTTTTTTCTTACAGGAATAGTATTTCCATTAGCGTCACGCATAATAAATCAACTGTATTTTTAAACATAACATGAAATATGCCCATCACTATTTTATTAGGTATCTATGGAAGTTTAACTTTCTACGCAGATTTCACATAGATATATATATATCTTTAGAATGCTTTGAAAAATAAAATCGGAATTTTTTACGTTATTAGAATAATTTCTTTTTTGTATCTATTTCATCTTTAGCCTTTAATTTAATTTTGACTTCGTTTGAGCATTTATTATAAAAGCATTTTTTATTCATTCTATTTTATTTTCTTTCAGAGTGAAGTCAGTCAAAGAGTATCCCGTACATGCATCCCCCACTGCATCCCTAACAGCTAGCGCATCTGCTCTTCCTATAGCTGCGATAAAGCAATAAGAAAGTATATATTCAATCAATATATATTATAGTAAAAAAAAGAGAGAAAAAAAAGAGGAAAATTGCATATGGAAAAGAGACATAGTGTTGTTGCGCGAGAAAGATTTACGCGTCTACAAGTTTACCGTGGCACCTGGTGGCACCCCGCGCGGAAGATTCCGCGGCGACGAAACGGCGCGGTCGCAATATCGAGCGACCTGGTGACCTCTCCGCCCGGTGGAATTGATTATTTTCAGGAGAGTGAGAGAGAGTATATATGTGTGTCCCCCCCTTTGAAATATACGTAGCGACGGCTAGGCATAACACCCCGGCTAAGTAGTCCATCATGGAGAGTCGCTCGGGCAGCATAAAGGACCCGATGTACTATCCGGATAACGACGGCACGTCGAGCGGCGGCGGCGGTGACCAGCAGGACAAGAGTCAGCGCAGCTCGCTCGGCAGCCAGGACATCAGCCTGGACGACAACAACGCGCTCAAGGTGCCGCGCAAATTTATCACCAACTGGCGGCAGGCGTGCGACCGCACGCGGGACCGGACCAAGGACCTTCTGAAGAGATGGAGAACGACCAGCAGCCACGTCGACGAGCTCGCCGTCGCGCCCGTTGCCGCCCCCGAACTGGAACATCCCAGCTGGAGCGTGCACGTCTGGAGTGAGTATATCTCCGAGGAGTGTTCTATATAATTTTATCAATTGTTGCTTATCCGCAGTCATATTTTTTTACAAAATCTGCTTTCAGAATTTTGATTTTTTTTTACTTTGACAAAATTTATAGGAGTAATATAAAAAAAGAAGTTTATTGTAATAAATTAACTATAAAGTTGGAAATTATTAAATACTGAGATATATTATAGCAAAGGCAAATCTCATTTTGCATTAACATACATAGCTCGAAAAGCTGAAATTGTATACGAATATTGATTTATTTAATAATGTCGATTTATTCTGTTGTTATTTAACAAATAATTAAATTATTGTCTATAGTTACTTTATTTATAAATAATGTATTCAGATTATTAATCATTTTCTGCTCGCAATCATATTCTCGCGGCAATGAGGTTATTGATGATTCAAATTAAAATTAATTATACAATTAATTAATTATCGTGATTTATATAGCGACTTGGGTGAGCCGCTTTCCGAGCGACGACAGTTTGTGCGCCCTTGACTTCAGTAAAAGCGGCGGATCAGAGACCTTAGCCCCCATTCAACGTGATAAATTCACTCACTTTTTTACATACCTCTTGGACCACGATAGAGATGGTTACGTCAACAGAAAGGATTTTTCACTACTTTCCGAGGTAACGGTTTCTGTTTTCAGAAACTTAACTTTTCATTTTGAGAAAATTAGGAGTAATGTGAAGAAAAAGCTCAGCTTGTTTGCTGTCTCTTTAATATTTCCAGAGAAAAAGAGAAAAAAGAAATCTATGTTAAAATAACGCGCTAGAAAAATGATGCTTGTGTAATAAAACCGATAGGTATATACAGAAAAAAAATAGAAATTTTATAGAAAATTTTATTGTTTTTAGTTTATAATTGCATATCTATATATAGTAAAATCCAAAATCGTCGAGACAATATCTGTATTAAAAAATGACACTTTTTTCCCCCCAAAAAAGCGTTTGAGAAGATTTGCGGACTGGTCGTGGAACGGTCCGGAGTATCTGAGGCTCCTGGAGATCGAGAACGGATTCGCCGGATTGATCCTTCAGGATAAGAAGGGGCCGGCGGAGTCGGACAAAAAGATCGATCTCGACGATTGGTTATCCTGGTGGGCGCAGATCGTTGCACCGACGGAAGGCGCCAGTTACAATGACATGCCCTTCTGGATCAAAGTTATGCCCAGAGTATTTTTCCTCGCCATAAACAGCTCCGGCAGTGGGATGATCAGCAAGAAGGAACTCGCGGCCTTCTACGGCTCCGTGGTTGGCCTGGACACCGACAGGATAAACAAGTGCCTGGACATCGCGTACAACTCTATGACTTCGGTTAGTTCAGTTCCTAAGATAGTTTTGTGAGTAATGAAAATAATAATTTGATGCGGCTAAATTTTTTCTCTGAATCGAATAGATATTTTTTTATCCTTAATCATGAAAATTTGAACAAATAAATAAAAATGTAGCAAGATTAGAGGAGAGGATTAAAGGAAAGGAGATATAAAAGAATCTTATAGATTTTTCAAAATTCTTTATTAAATTCTTTTTATTTTTCCCTTTTTAAGAAATTAATCCGAAATTTGTTAATAACGATAGAAAAAAAACTTTGTTTCAGAATGGAGATCATCCTCTCGGCTGGGCGCAGTATCAGTTAGTGTTCGCCAATTTCCTGTTCGGCCGCGGCCCGTTCGGCCCGGGGGAGCATTTCCTGGGCATGACGGACGCCTGCATGGTTCGCGGTAACACCATACCGTTCCCCATCGATTATTCCGCGATGAACACACCGCGGGACAAATTAGAGGTGTACAGCCCCCATTGCAAGAGCAACAGGCGAAGCGTTGTAGTCTAACGGGTGAAGTTGTCGTGAGAGAGAGAGTTCCTTCTGGTTAGTGATGCAACATGCACAATCATCCCTCGAGTGCCTAATACCGTGTATCATATAAATGTGTTTGATATAAATTTATTTTCGTCAACAGCAAAAAGATCTCGAGAGTATTGAAGAAAATTATATTGTCCATCTTGCACAAGTATTTCGATGTACAAAAAAGCTCGATGATCAGAGTATAATTAGAGCATTATTACATCTCAATACACTATTACACTGCCATTTATCTTATAGGGAGCATCATGAGTATTCTTCACACATAGAACGTACGTGTGTCTATTTTTAGGTAAAACACAAAGAGGTTTAAATGATTTTTTTAAAAACGCAATATTACAAAAAATCAATTATTCGAAAGATTTTTCTCGGCGAGTAGAAATAGTGCATTCATTTGACGCAGTGAAGAAGAGACTATTACGTACTTACAAAATTTATTTCAAGCACTTGGCAGTTTAGTACTTCTTACACGTCGAAGTCACCACGACACATGGATGATGATGTTACGTGTGAGAGAGACATGACTTTTGCTATAGCATTATCGATTATCGACGCGTGCGTAACGGCGTGCGCGTTTCTATATGTAAAACGATTATTGTTGTCTACAAATAATGAGAAAATAATGACGACACTTTCTTTTTTCGACGATCCACGTACTTAATATTAAATATTTCTAAATAGCTCTGTCCCCCTCCCGTTTCTTCCTCCCCTCCCCCCTTCCGATCCTGCGTGTAATAAGGCACGTACGGAAGCACTGGATCACATACTTTCGAATATCGATGTGTGTATCGTTCATCGTCCCCGATGGCAATCGGCAGCATTGCGCACGACGACGGACCGACGACGGAGATTCAATAAATGCACCAATAGTGATTATGACAATCGGATATTCTAGTACTTTGGCATTTTCCTCGTTTCTTTCGTTTTTTTTTAAATTTTCGTTTTATCTTATTTCTTTCCTTATATCGTCTTGGCCCATACCGCCAGCACGTACGACTCGATCTCGCACTCGTTCGTTCCCCTTTGGATCTTGAAGAGCCCGTTCTCGCCCCAGTTGTATCCCCATGAGTTCACGACCAGCTGAGGAAGTGATTAAATTTCAGTTATTTGTAATTTCAAATCGCAATAATCTGCACACGTCTCCAAATTTGGGATATTTTTACGATACTGTTCCACGATCACGTGTAAAAAAAAAAATTATAGCTTGTATCACTGTAATCTCTTTTCGGACTTTTTCTTTTCTCTTTTAGACCGTTACGAACGTCGACTTATCGTATAGCTGTACGTGATACGGCGTAAACTTACCCAATACTTGAGCGGTGGACCACGATAAGACTTCTTCTCGCCCCAACCGATTATTCTCACCGAGTGATAACCGGAATCGGAATCGTCCAATTCCTTTTGCTTCCACTCGCTTTGCAAGTGCCTGTATACTCCGCCCTGGTAAACGAAGAAGTCCTGGTAGACTCTCATGGTAGCTGCAAAAAGACGGATGTTACTTCATTAATATCCTCTTAACGTGCAACATTTGTGTCTCCGTTTGCGGGACATAACGGATTCCAAATGTCAATACGTATTTTAGGATCTCGATTAACGAGCGACCGTCTGAGTTACAGCGGCGTATACCTTGCACGGGTCCAGAGGTCAGGATCTCCTGCATAATGTCAGTCTCGTTGCCCAGGCGGTAGGCCGGCCCGACCTTGTACAATTCTGTTCTCAGCGGGTTCGGTGGATTCTGACAACCGGCGGCCTTTAGGTTGCTTCTCTTACGTAGCTTGCAATGACCGTTCTTACCGGTCCAAGGATAACACTCCTCGTCCACCAGTCTACGACGGGAGGATTAATGATATTAACGTCACGCGCATTCGAACGGAAATTTACTATCGCGCATCAATAAAGCGCGATAGTGAATTCCTGTTTATTGTCTATGTCTACTTTTAGACAGTACATAAATAAAATAATAATGTATATTAAAGAATTGATCTCTTGACGTGCCAATTTATTGTTGAGTCAAAATGATTTTATTTTAAACTTGCAGTCAATATATAAAATAATTAAATCTGTACGATCAAGATTGTGTATACAACTCAGAATATCGTTTTTTTGTTAAAGTGAATTTTATAGCAAATCAAATTATAGAGGAACGTACCCGAATTTTCTCATGAAGAGCCAAGCGCGGTCGAGGTAGCCGCCTCTGCAGCCTTGTTGTCCCCTGTTGTTGCAAGAGAGCAGATGCTGGGCGCTCAGCTCCGCGTTCTCGGCGCCTTTGCTCATGATCGAGTACCTGTCGGTCGCGACGTCGGCCGTGGACACGGCCCAGGACGCGCCGCACCACCCTTGATCTTGGACGCCGGATATATCGCGCGGCCAGCGCGTCCTGCAGTCGAACTCCCGCGGCAGCGCGTCCGGGTCGTAAATACGTCGCACCGGGTTCATTTTACGCACCTATGCGAAAGGAAGTATAGCTTTAATCGAGCGGGGTCTTTTTGTGATTTCGCGTGTTTCCCGCGCACGTTGACGGATCTCATTTACGATCGGGGGAAAAGATACCCGCGTCCTCGGGCATCGATTTCCATGAGGCATTTCGGCGGACTAAAGGACGTATGACTCCGACGCTGCCTGCGAGCGACTTTGGGCGATTTCTTATTCATAGAGGCCCCGCGGTGAAGTACAAAAAGATTACTTTAGCTTTAACGTCGGTCGCACAAGCGAAGCAATTGACCTAATCTTACGAGACGGTCTCGCGTCTATACACACAGCCACGTATTAAAGAACAAGGTTGCCTTTGAAATTCATCGAGGTATAGAGTTTCGTGCAACTCCGCGCGCTGTTTAAAAACTTTCCGCTCCTATAGCGGATTTTAAATTTGTCTCTCCTTGAATAATTGATGTCTCAAGTAACGTATATACATATTTCGCGGTATGCGATCGAGGTGTATATAACGAAGATTTATCGTCGGGGACGGTACTCCATGAATATTTCACGTTGATTTGCGTAAGAATTTTTGATTATTTAAGCCGCGACTCGCGAGAGTACTCACGGATTGTGAGGGACTGAGAGTGCCCAGACGAAGCTCCAGACCGTCGCGAAGTGTCCTTCCCCAGAATTCGGAATAATTGCCCGCTTGCCATCCCAGGGTGGACCCTTGCAGATTCAGCTCGTCCATTAATTCCGGCTCAATCAGGCAGCGATTCTTCTCGCAGAGCACCTCGGCGCGCTTGCCGAGCGAGGAGCACTTGCTGCAATGTAAATTGAACTTGTAGAATCCGCGTGCCTAATTTTCTCGCTCGTTCTTGTGTACAGTTAGAAAAAGGTAAGGAGGATATTACCATGTGTTACAATTATCTTTTAACGTTTGCCCGTAATCGTACAATCTTCCCTGGAAGAAGCATCCTGAAACAACACGAGACTTGGAGAACAACTTATCGTGCGAATAATAAAAAGTACGAACAGTCACATTACAACTCCGCGAACAGTTTCGATTGCGCACTTGATACTTATCTTCTCTATGATGCGCAAGGTAAGTTTAATTATAAAAATGCGTTGCATAAATTTATTAGTGCTTTATATATAAAATGTTATATGTTACGTATCTCTAAATCATTTTTATAATATTTCAAATATACGCACTCCTTAGCTCGTCAGGCGGCCAGGTGGCTTCGGTCGTCGTTGTGACGTTTGGCACGATCCCTCTGCAATGATACCAGTAATCCGGACAGCAGTCCTCCTCGCGAGATCGGTCACAGAAATCGTCGCAGTAACACAGCGTCTTGAGGATCGGCGCGCTGCATTCATCCCGTCGTCCTGGGCAGCAACCGCCTCCGGGATACCTCCCGGCGCAGTACGGTCCCGATGGCAGTCCAGAATAATCCGGGATGCCTCTCACGACGGAGGGTAAGAACACAAAGGCGATGAACACTAAATTTTGGCAGTGTGCGGTCCACATTCTGAAAGGATCGAATTTTCATTTTACAATGAAATTTCACAAAGGAAAGTCTTTTTACATTCTTTTCAGTTACTTCTTAATCTCTTATGTACTTCGCCTTAATTTCACGACTGCGGTACTCTTGTCTAATTCGAATTGCAAATCTCGCGAAACTTCTCAGTACTTTCGCCAACTTCGCGCAACTTCGCGAGAGACACCAGTGTCACACGTAACCAGGTGTGCTCACGCGGTATGTAGGGTTCGGTAACAACTGGCAATTGACAACAATAACGCTGCCAAGAGTTTGCAATGTTGGGGCCGGCGGCGAGACGCGTCATCCCGTCTGCTTTGGAACGACTTCAAGGTGTTGGCCACTTAAATGCCGCACGATTCGTCACGAGGCATTCTAGAGAGAATGATGGAAGTTTTTTTCAGGCTTGTGCAACGTCCCCGCGCATAACATTTTATCGAACAAATTGTTCGATCTCTCTCCTTGACTTCTAATTCTTTCGTACTCCAGAAGTCGACCGAGAATATTTACGAAGCTCTGCGGAAGTTTTATAGCTTGAACAATAGTCGACGATTTATCTTCCGTTTCTTTACCATCAAAAATTCTGCGATGTTTCAACTTTTGATATTCATCATTCCCTTTATTAATTTTATGTTAACATTATTAAAGATTGTTTAGTTAGATTAAAGATATAGTCAAAATAGTTATAAGAGTAACATTTCAACTGCTTAATTAATCTCGAGTCATTAAGATGAACATGATGAATCGAAAAACTTAATAATTTATGATTAGATAAAGACAATTCGTTCGTCGACGGCGATTCAACCGGTTTTTCGAGCTTAACATCTGTTGCCCGCCCGATCGGTCCACGCATCGTCTATTACGGATCACGTAACTCTGAAACGAGTGTCACCCGAATCGGCTGCATTATAATATTGATGGAATTTACCAGACTGGAACGAGGATCATGATTTCAGCTTCCTGAGTTCGGACAGGCGCACACGCTTGCGTAACGATACCGATTTTCCAGACGATAGTACTTAATACAATTTAAATACGCACATGCACTTCGCTAGAATCCAAATGCACACACAGACATACGCAGAATTCTTTAGAAATAAGCGTTTTGCGTAAAAAAAAAATAGGCATGATGTTGATGAACAAAGTTCAATTACTTTTAATTTCCCAACCTGTCTGATTAAACAAGTTAACAAGTCTTTCTTAAAAGATTAAAGAAAAACCGATTAGAAATTATATAGTCGAGGAGTCGCACGGGGACGCGCGGCGCCGCGCTCGCGAGTTTACATAATCTGTATAACATTTTTTATAATACATGAGTCGCAAAATTATTCTACTCAACGATGCGTACTCCGATGTGTGTTCCTCGTTCTACATGCTTCCGACAACTGCATCGGCAGCCGCTTCTGTGCCGCGTATTAGACGAAGGATCTTTCGTCGAGTGTCCCCGATCGCGCGGACTCCGCGCACGGTGACGAGCGCCTTCATTGAGGAACGAGCAATTAATGCAAATAATCCGTCCCCGCGCGGGAACGCGCGTAAGTGGGTCGTTCGTTTGACCCGTCTCTTTCCCGCGAGACGCACACAAAGTGTCATCCTCGAGTCGTCTTCGCCGACGCAATAAACGGCAATTCGCCCATAAATGACAAATCCAAATAAAAAAAAGGAAAAAATTATCAGGGAGAGCTCGTGATCCTCGACCCCCCTCGCGCGAGAAGACCAAATAGCATTAATCAGCGTAAAGACGAGAGCAAACGAATGATCGTAAAACTCGAGTTAAGAGCCCGCGAGTTGAATAAAAGAATAATAGATGCGCCCTACGGGACAGCTGACCCATGACATCAGCATCGCGCCCTACGAAGGTCACAATAAGGACATCCCCCGAGCGACACAGGCAGCGGAGGAATGTTAATTAAAAACGGAGTCTGAATTAAGCGAGCTTGCCGCTGGCGAACAACCCCGAGATGCATCACTGACGAGACAAACCCCAAGGGATAAAAAAAATGGGTGAATTAAAAGGAAGGATTCGATAGGGCTTTGTTTGGCGAATTTATGTATCGCCGATATCTACGAGTGGAATCTCGGGGAGTTCGAATTTGCATTTTGAGATCCCTCTGCCCGTGCGGAGCCTGATGTGCTCGCCCGTCTGGAGCGCGCCGTGAAAAGAATAATTCATATAGAATCGTGCTGCACACGCCGCGCTGTTATCGCTGTCAGTGCTTATTGATACGCAAATTCGAGTGTGGCACGATAAAGCGGTAATGACGGAAGTCGGTCAGCTGCGCGGGCCTCGCTGGGGAGGAGCGGCAGGAGAAACGGCAGAAGTGTTTACAGCTCGGGTCGATCGATAATAAGACGTATACGTAAAGTGAAATGCGAGCGGCCTTCGCGCGCGCGGGCCGCTCATCTGTTCGCAGAAGAAGCAGAGAGCGGTTCCTGGACGCGGTCCAGAGTTACATCATTCGCGGATTCAATGTATATCTCGCGATAACGGCCGTCCCGACGAGAGTCACCGGACGCGTTATTAGGTAACTAACGTCGCTCTCTCGCGAGATCGCATCACACGCTCTGCCGTGCGTGACGCGACGTTGGCACGCACCGTGACGGGCCAGCGGTTTAATTCCGATGCACTTGAAATAGCGCGCCGAAAGTTCTCCCCGCTGTTTTCGCTTTCGTCGCAACAGGACGACACCCCGCGCGGCGTTGACCACCGGGCGAGATACCAAGAGGCTTATTAATTGCTAGAATGTTAGACTGGTTACAATAATGCGAACTTGTTCGGACAATTCCGACGAGTAAGAACGATGGGATCTGAATGCTAATTAACGTAAGTGGAGTTGACATACTGACGGAGACAGACAGTTCGTTTAACCGACCGGTTCGGGGACTGGCGTGACTCCAGGGATATTTCTAAGGTTACCAAGGTTAAGGCACATGCCTGTTTCTATAGGACCTCCAAATCAATGAGCCCACTTTAAAGTCAGCCTTGAAAGTAGAGTCAATTTAAGAGTCCCTTCGCCGCGGAGAAGATTACAGATTGTATATTTTTAGCTGCCTCTTTCTCTCCTTCGGCATCCCATAAATTCCTACCACCTATTCCTCTACTGAGGGTCGGGTCAACTTATAACTTACAAGAGAAAGAGTGTCTCCTCCTTTTTATGTTAATTGTCTTCGAAATATGTCCGATTAATCGCTGGATCGCAAGTGAAAACAATCTCGATTCAATTAAACTTTTGAATATATTGTATATATATTTTCTCGGCTATGAAATTCGCTCGTTTTTTTTTTTTTATCAATGTGGACTCTGCATAAGAAAAGAACGACTTTATCTATCAGTCTGATACTTTGTGAAGCCTACCATTTATTTAAGGAACCTGGACCACCATCCAAGTATCGCCGACCGATCGTAATTCTTTCTTCGGCCAATTTTGTTACCGCCCGTCATCTATCATTTGGCGTGCGCAAAAATCGAGCTATGAGGCGTGCAACGCGATTCGCGTAACGTGTGATATTAACCAGCCGTTTATCAGCGCTATTATCATCCATTACCGCATAACAAAGCGCTCTTGACCCATTTAGCCCTATTAACACGCGAATACACGCTGCCGCCGCGACTTGATCCTGCCCACCTACACGGTCAGATTAACGTCCGTACGAACGTTAATTATTTGCGCGAACCTCCTTTTCCATGTCAAAGTTGCGCGTAATGCAGTTCGAACCGTAAACCGTAATATTGCCCGGTACAGACGCAAATAAGGGAGCACATGTCATTTCCAGGAATACCGTTTCCGTAATTACTCATTGTCCCATTTTCCGCATTGCAGTCTTTTCTACTGCTCGCGTCATTATTAATTTCATTTATTATTCTTTTATTTTATTTTATTTTAGTTATTAATTATTCTATTTATTTTATTGTATTCCAACAAAAATAATTTCCTTTGGCAAAAAAAAATTTGATTGTCTGCACCAATCCATCGCATCTGTAAATACGTGAAAAAATTTGAATTTTTGACAAAATCAATGCAGTCTCGAAGACGTTGCGGTACATAGAAAAACCTAAACGTATCTGTCAATGAAAAGATTCGCAATATCATCGGCTGGCCACGAAAGCTTTTAGTCAAAAGTGGAGGAGCATTACCGTTAGTATACAGTTGTCGCGTATCGATTAATCGCGTTTTGCGTGACGTCAGATCCGAGATTGCTCGATGAATACCGTCGACGGAAAGCTATGCAACCTTTATCGCTGCGCTTTATTATCGTGACCGACTTTTCGATTTTGAAGTCGGTCAAATTTAAAGAAGAGAGTTTCCTCCGTCACAAGCTATTCTATTTATTAGTTAGTTGACTACCGAACATGAGGTAACTCATAGTGAGTGATCTATAGGACGTCAGCCATCCAGCTAGCCAGTATTTTGAAGAGGGAAATAAAAATTTCATTGTGAGTTTTGATGAAGAACAAATATAATTAAGTAGCATATTTTAAAATAGCATGCTGACATAAAAATGGTGCCAGAAACAAAATTACCTAATTGTATAACAGTGACAGAATCAATGTATTAAAACGAATCGTTTATTTACGATGCTAAAATATGCGCCATAAAAAAATCGTAAAGTTTTCATTCATCACGCTTGTATCACTCACGATATAGCGATCGCTCCCCGATCGAAGAGGCAGCATGATGACGAGTGAGATCAGCAGCCGCGCGTGGCGGGTGCGAGTGACGCAGCCTCCGTGATTAAATGCAACGCGCGTCTCCGATTAGCCGGCCAGAGAGAAAAAGGGAGAGAGAGAGAGCGGTCTTTACATCATAATTATAGATTAAATTCCACGGGCATCGCGTCAACTCGCTCGCGCGCTCGTTCGTGCCACGCCATCGGATAGAAATGAATTAATCGCGTCTTTCACCGAGCGATATTTCTTCACGTCGGGAAGTCGTCGTGGATATCACTTCCGCGAGTTCCGCGTGGGATTTTCCATTTTTTTTTTTTCGTAGCGCACATCATCCGCCCGTCATCGAATCGACCGCATGATTCATCAGCGGCCGATGCAACGCTTGCATTGCGCGCGTTCTATGGATTATATGTCAACCGAGATTGTCCTTCGAATTATTACTCTCGCGAATCTGCGAGTCCTCTCCTTCCCCGGAAAGAAGAATCTGCCGTTCGCCAGGCTTCTGACGAGTGTGCAGATTTCGTACGAGAAACTTGTAGATAGATAAATCAGTCGGTTTCTGATTCTCCCTTTTGGATCCTCGACGTTCAATAATCGAATCTTCCTTATACGCTACACATTTATCTGATAAATTTCTCTTATTATAATTTATATACTTTTATTCATTTATTCCTCGAACATCTGTCGAAGAAACTGCAATCGATTTTTTAGTAAAATTTTGTTGAAATAAAATTCAGAAAACTTCAATATTGAAGCTAAATTTTGTTAAAAGGGTCAAATTTCGAAATTTCTCGAGCGTTCGCATATGCTAAACAGCTCGACAACGACAACGACGACGACGACGACGTTTGCATACATTCATAAGGCGGAGCGCATTCTGTAATCCCTGGCAGAAGGCTGACTGTCAAGCGGCGTGCCGTTAAACGCAATGACATAACACGATATCAATGCTCGCGTCAACGTATACGATCGGCGTACAGAATCGGTACGCGTAAACTTTCGCGCGGATCATCCTCTTTCGCGGAGAAGACTGGGCGCTGTCTTCCACGGGAAAAGTTACGCATTGGTACTCTCCTCATTTTTCATTCTTTTCAATCGGGATTTCGATTTCACAAAAATTCGAGAAAATTAATTTTAATTATTTCCTCTACTTAATTGCTTCTAAATACCGTCGAAAATTTCTTTCAATGGACGAGACAGCCCCATTTGTGCATTTATTTCCACGCTGATTGCAGAGATGTATTTCGAGAGAAATCGTCCTCCCGAGGGAAGAGATTGAAGTGAGCCACGGACCCTCCGCTTCTTTCTTTCGCGTAGATATTTCTGAATGCGTTCGGGCATTTCGCTCCGTTGGATATTGGAAAAATAAACGGGGCCGACGTATAGAGCCCCTGCTTTATATTCTGCCTCTGCTTATTTTTATGGACCGTATGAAAAGCGGTGTACGGAGAGAGGAGAACGTATCGGAATTAAAAGATCCTCCCGCGATTCGCGTCTTTGCTCTACGTTTTTCTTTCTTTATGACGGCGATTTTACGTGAGACGCATTCTTTCTTTGTGCCCATTCTCGACGTGGAGTAAGCTCAAAGGCAAATAACAACTGTAGCGCCCGGTTGGCTTGGATCAAC